CATCCCGTTCGGGTTCGGTTATCATCGTTACCGAGAAATAATTGGGCAATAGCCGTTGGAAGGACAACGGACAGCATGCGTGCAATAAAACAGCCTATACTTCAATTGTCTATTGTGCGAAATTTCTTATCAGAACTTCGTCATTACCTTAGTTTTATCGGTAGGTGTAAAATAATGCTGAAATGCCAATTCAAACTTTACAAACAGTCATAGCAGCTATTGCTTTAGATATTGTTTGGGTTACTTTCAGATTAAAAAATAAAAATGTTTATCAATCAAAGCACTGAAAGTACTGATAGACGGAGGCTTGGAATGGACTCTTTGGGAATTTTTTATTTATATTCTGACCCCAACATTTGCCTATGGGTGGTTGGCTATATCTTTTGAACAGTAGATACCAGGACATTCATACTTCATATATGTATTCTTTGTGGAAAGACCTTTCATTGGATACTAACAACCTTGACCTTTTGATATTGACCTTCGAGATTTCCATACTTTATATGAAAAAAACTTGAACCTTTTTCCATAACTATTGAATGGTAAGGGATAGGGCTTTCATACTTCACATAAGTAATCCTTGTGAGAAGACCCTTCATTGGATACCAAGAGCTTTGACCCTTTGACCTTGGAGGTTGACCTACTTCTAAACAGCAAACATGGACCATAACTTTCAAAGGTTTAGGGCTAGTGCTTTCATACTTTATATATTTATTTCTAATGACAAGACCTTTCATTTGCTAGCAAGACCTTTGACCTTGGAGTTTGGTCTTCTTTTAAAAATTTTTATCCTTCGTCATAACTTTTGAAGGGTTAGGACTTCAAACTTAGCATATCTATTTTTGTGGCAAGGCTTTCATTGAATACCAATTACCTTGATCTTTTGACCTTGACCTTGGATATTTCCGTACTTATGGGAAAACTTTAGCATTGTCCTACTTTCATATTTCACAATTGTATTTCCAGTAAGAATACCCTACTTTTGGTACCAATATATTAAATTTACATTTAAGAAAAGTTTAATCTTCGCTTAATTACCATGCATACGTGGGCATCAATGTTTCACAAACACATCTTGTTCATTCATGTTATCGTGGTCTAATATTTAATTATGTAATTTACTGAATTCCTATTTTTCATCAAAAGGACAGATCACTCTAATTGCACTAAACCATATTAGTTTAAATTCTTTAGTGACTCATGCTAAGAGCTTCATGAAATGTGAGAAAGAATCCTTACAAACAAAGATACATTGCGGGTTCTAGTAAATATTCAGCCAGGCCTCTTTCGTTACTCCTCGCTAAGATATTGACAGTAGTGAAGGAAAAACTTCAAGAGTACTCAGTACAACTATATACTAAGTATTCAAGAAGTGATGTGAATCAGATGTGGATACTAAAAAATTCTAAAGAACTTTTGGACAATTTAAAATCACAAAACTTTACAAAAATCAACAGCTTAAAAATTTACGACTTTTCAACTTTATACACAACAATTCCCCACGACAAATTAAATTTTAGGCTTTTGATATCATTGACAGCTGCTTCTTCAATGAAAATGGAACTTGTAAATTTGCTTACCTCTTCATTGGTCATTTTCAAAATTATTTTGTTAAAACAGATTCTAATTGCAAACATAAGTACTCTGAAGTTGACACCAAGATGATGCTTGAGTTTCTGATTGACAATATCTTTGTGGTTTTTTGAGACCAGGTATTCCAACAATATATCGGAAGTCCCATGGGTACAAATTGCGCTCCGTTATTAAGAGACTTATTTTTATATTCATATGAAGCAGAATTTATGCAAAATCTCCTGCGTGAAAAGAAGAAAACACTTGCTATGGCCTTCAACTCGACATTTAGATATATCGACGACGTTTTGTCAATTAAAAATGGTAATTTCTATTCCTATGTCGATACGATTTATCCTGGTGAGCTTGTGATAAAAGATAGCACAGAGTCTTCTGTTTCATACTTGGATAATTTTACTCTAAAAAGACACTAATGGTAATCTAACAACCAAGCTATATGATAAACGTGATAGCTTTAACTTTTCTATCGTCAACTTCCCTTACTTATGCAGCAATATTATATACCTTCATCACATGCAAACGGAGTATATATATCTCAGTTGATTCGATACGCAAGAGCATGCTCTACGTATGAACAATTTCTAAAACGACGTTAATTATTGACAAGCAAGTTGATGAAACAAAAATAGCAGCAGTATCGTCACCATTTCGTAAGTTCTATGGTCGATACAATGACCTTGTCAGCAAATACAATTTATTATTTAGTCAAATGCTGACTGACGTTTTTCATACCAATTGTTAGTCTATTACTGATACATTGAATTGACGACGGATTTTTTCCGTTATTTCCTGATCATGACAAGGAGCACACGGCGGGTGTGACCGGTCGGCAGGGGATGCTCACTCCTCCATGGCACCTTATCCCACCTCTGATGTTTCGGGGGTACGTGTTTGCTTTGCTCTTGTTTTGGATTGTTTTATGGACTTTGAGACTGAATACTGTTCGTTATCTCCATATCCTTCATACAGACGGACGGACACGACAAAAACTATGTACCCCCGAAACTTCGTTTACGGGGGCATAACAAGGAAACGCATCACGAGCTTTTAACTGATTGATAAGCAAGTTCTAATTTATCATTTAGAAAAGTTTGAAAATCTTGTGACAAAGACTTTTCCGACATAGGTTCTTCCTTAAAAAAATGAAGATACATCAAAATGTCATATATCTATGTAAAATTGTATCCAAGAATAATTAGAGGGTAAGGAGTAAAATGTTCATAAACAACAACATGATCAAGATTGATTGTTTAATTCAACAGTAAACCCAGAGGAGTTCTGATGACGTTCCCCATAAAATGAGTGATAAAAACTTTCCCCATAAATTTTTATTCATAGGCGTCGTAACGGGGGGGGGGGGGGGCTATACGCCCCCCTTTTTACTAAAGATAAACTTAGTATAGACATTGAACATTTCTGCGTAGGTTTAGCCCCCAATACTTTCCACAGACACGTTGCAGTATAGGTTTAAAATTGGGAAAGTGGTGCTGTTTGAAAAAAAAAGGGTACTGAAGTTCGAGCCTATAAATCCCCCCCCCCCCCACGGAATAGGATTTACGTGTTTGGACAATGGACATTTCTACGCATTTCCTTTTGGAAGTCTAAAAAAAATTTCTTATACTTAGCCCCCCCCCCCCTTTAATTTGCTACCGACGCCAATGTTTGATTACATACTGAGACGATATCATCTTCTTTACACAACTAATCACTTTAAAATAAAGATAAATTCACCTGTGTTAAGGCATCATATTTTGTCATATCTTATTTTCTAGTTTAATGCAAAGACACCATATATTCTGCATCTAGACGATATAACGGTATAAAATAGATCAATGTTAACAAATGATTAAAGAATCTTTAGAACACACGAGCAGATGGGAAAGTTATTTTTATTAATCCTTGACAGATTTATTTTTAGTCAGTCAAAAAAAAAATAAAATTTTAAATCTTTAAATTTAAGATGAGAAAGGAGTTTATAGTCTATAACAAGACTGCTATTTTCTAAAAAATTGCCTATCATTTCAATAAAAACGTAATACGAAAGCACTTTCCCCACAATGTATTTCACTTGCATGCGCGGATCTAGAGGGGGGAGGGGGTCAGGACCCTTGGAATTTGCAAGGTTATTAAATCTATATTGTTTAAATATAATGAACAATGGATGATGTGCCTTTGCCAATTATTGTAATTGTGTTTGTGTAAAATAAATACTTGTATGTATTTGTAAACTAAAGCAAGAAAAAAGTTACCTTGAACCCCCCTTGGAAAACGCAGTGGAAAAAAATTGGTATGAGAAGTAAAAGGTTTGAAGCATTAGAAGTCATCGATTATCCCCCCCCCCCCCGAAATAGGTTTTTAATGTTTGGGCGAGTTTTTTTTTCTTTACTTGTCAAGAAATTCCTGGGTTGGGTTTTTTATTTAGACTGTGGTGAACCCCTCTAGAAAAAAATTCTGTATGCGCGCCTATTCGTCCATTATTCTTCACACATCGGTTTTGTCGAGAGAGAGAGAGAGAGAGAGAGAGAGAGAGAGAGAGAGGTGCGCATTGTAGCGGGATGCTGCATAAACAAAACATCCGCAAAGGAAAATAGTTCGCGACGAATTATTGATGCACTTTAGCAACCCGGGATTATTATCACCAAATACAAAATTACTCGTTAAAAATCATTCCGTTCGGTATGAATCTTTGTTAGTTTGAAAAATAATACATCATAAATATTTGCTCTGATCTTTTGAATGTAGGTGTATGAACACAAAATCTGAAAGATGAAAGTTCCTGAAGTTTACGAAGAATGGTGAGCAGTCGAGTTACATGTAGTGGGACTGTCTTACTGAGTCTGATATATATACACCTGTGTTACCTGACTTGTGACGTCAACGCTACAGGTAAGTTCATCGTCCGATACACTGAGAGACGTAAACAGGTAAACGGACGTGACACACAGGTCACCTGTCAGCGGGTCCGTCCAGGTAAACCCCCCCCCATCTTTATACACATGTATACTATCACTCCTTTACGCATGATGGTTTTATTAGGTAAATTTTACAGGGTTTTCAATCTTAGTAAACCGGCATGTATAGCGTGATTAATTTATAGGCCCTATGTATCGTTTGATTAATAGACGACTTTCACATTCCTCAATAATATGTTGTAAGCGGCCCGTGTCAAAGGTCAATCGGCGTAAAGTCTTTAACTTAAGCGGCCTTATTGCTAAAACAATACTGAGCGGGTATAATTTCGACTTGTTTATTTATCGAATTACTGTATTTTGAGCCATTTTACGTATACACAATTTGATATAGACTTACACTATGGATCCTGGAGATCAGATTTTACACCCTGCAAGAATTCCAAACGTGGAAAACAGAAAATTTGAAGGCCTATTTAACCAAGAGGAGTCTGTCTAAAGCAGGTACTAAAGAAGAACTTGTAGCTCTTTGTTTTTCTGCTTCCAAGTTAAATCTACCTATTATTCCAACAGCTCGTGATATTTTAGAACATAATGCTAAGTGCTATGAAAGTATTTTATCTGCTTGTGGAATCCAAGACCCCCTGAAAACATACGAAGGATGGATGGACGAGAAGAGTGCAATAGATAAGTGGCCACCGACATTTTTGTCTGACATTACTCAGTTTTTATTAAAGCATGGAGATGTCTCCCTTACAAATTCACTTCTCAAAGATTACAAGGTTGGCAAAGCATATGAATATTTTACAAGTGGCTGGCTCCAAGAAGTTTTTTTATTACCGTTTGACAAGCGAAAAGAAATGCATCTTAAGAGCAAAGTGCATCCCCTCCCAACGAATTCGAGATGATTTACATGACTGCTGGGCAGCAATTTCGGAAGAGGATGGTGAGGTTTTGGGAGCCTACTGTACATGTACTGCAGGGTATGAAAATTTACATTTCAGTTGACTAATTATGTAATGGTCAAATTTGATTTAATAAGATAAAGTGTGTCATACATGTTTTAAATTATATGTTTGACATTGATCAATATTGTAGATTGGGGCAAACATGCAACCATGTTGCTGCATTACTTTTTCGCATCGAGGCTGCTAATCAGTATGGGCAGACATCATGTACTATGGCCAGATGTGGTTGGGTGCAGCCAAAGGTGATGAAAGATTTGGAGCCACAGAAAATATCAGCCTTATGTACCAGCCTGAAGAAATCTTCTCGAGCTAAATATGGTCTATCATTTAAACTATGATTTCATAACATACTTCCATATTGTTGTTTACTTAAATATTCTGTAGTACCGGGGTATTATACAGTGTCCTTGAAATACATAAATTTTTAAAAATTTCTTTAGATGTTTTTTTTTCATTTCATATACAACAAAAACACTAATGAAAGGCTAAATATATATCTTTTTTGAAAGAGATTTTGCAATTTTGTGTTTATATATGATTTAATTTTATAGCTAAAAGCAGACCACTAGTGGCCACTGAAAAGAAAAAGTACAACCCTCTTGAAATTGAGGAGTCCAACACCGCCATACTTGACAGTTTGAGCATTGCACTTCGTGGTGTTGTCCCCGAGGCCTGTTTATTCAAAGGTAAATTATAACTAATCTAACATTATGGACTCTTTATAACAGGGGATTGAGACATATCATCAGTCTGAGTACAGTTGACACCTGAGAGCCCTTGTGCCAAAGGACAACAACCCTACTCGGACCTGATAATTAGTGATGGTCCCCTTCTGAACAGTCCATGATTGTTTTATTATTATAAAGAATCTTATATTAAGATCGCATAAGATTAGAAAACATTAGTCAAATCATGTTTTCTTCTATCGACTGCTCCAATTCCATACTTTCAAAGTATCTTCAATATAACTTTGTCCTCACTGTTAAAATTAATTGTTTACCAATCCGTAAACAAATTTAATTATGTAATTATAAATATGAGTCATCTTGTTTATGACACCTATTTTAAACTTAGTGAAGACAACAGAGTTGTCATACTGATTGCTCGCTTGAGCTATTTTATTGTCATTTGAAGGGAGGCAACACAGGTGTCACCCTGCAGAGCATGAATAAGACTTCACAAATTGTCTCCTCACATTTGACAACCTTTAAACCAATGAGCATGACTGTATAATTCTGAAATGTATTATTACTAATTAATTAATAAAAATCTATATAAGTTATATAACATAGTTATAAAATTTGTAAGATGGAAATACTGTAAAAATGTTTTCACATGTAATGATGTTCACTGACTAGTCTGGCACATTACTATGTTGCTTATCGATACTTTCCCGTGAGGTGTTTCCTGGTTTGTCCAGTTTGTTGGCTTGGTACATCATATAATATACAACATATCTAGTTTGACAAGACGTGGATAAATTTTACACCAGTCAAAGACTTATTATGATTAGTTTTGTTTATTTACTTCAAGGTTTACCTCGGACTGGTGATGTTCCAACTTCAGCTCAGGAAGCAGAGGGAGCCGTAGGATCAAACGAAGAAGATACAGGCCATGAAGACCTTTCTGTTATTGATAAATTTGATTTATCAACCATATCAAAGTCTTATGGTTCTCAAAATACTTATGAATTTTTAAATTTTTTACCAAAAATTGATGATTATGAAATTTCAACTATTGAGAAATTTACTGTTGGACAACATGAAAATGAAAATTGGCACCGCTTGCGTAAAGGACGGATAACTGCTTCTAAATTTTATCAAGTATATACAAAAGTGAACTCTGTTCTGGATGGTCGTAGAAAAGATGTACAAGTAGATTGTTCTTCACTTACCAAGTCTATCATGTGCTATACAAAGATTAATCCCAATATCAAATCTTTAAAATATGGTAGAGAAACTGAGCCATTAGCAATCTGTTCTTATTTGAATACTTATAAAAAACAACATGTCAATGTGTCATCAAGAAAGTGTGGTCTGTTTATAGACAAGAGAAATATTTTTCTTAGTGCTACACCAGATTTACTGGTTTCTTGTTCATGTTGTGGAGATGGTCTTCTTGAAGTTAAGTGTCCTCTTGTACCGGAGTGTAAAAAATGTAAATCTTTTTGTGTTTGTCATCTTCCAGAATATGTAAAAATTTGTAATGATGGTTTTTGTGTTAAAAAAAATCATGCATATTTTACCCAGATTCAGGGTCAGCTCGGCATAAAAGGTCGCAATTGGTGTGATTTATATATATACACAAAAAATGGCCCATTACAATGTAGAATCAAATTTGATCAGGATGCATATTCAAAATTTTTGTTACCAAATTTAGTTATATTTTTCACTGATTACATTGTACCTGAACTATTACAAGGTAAACTTAATGAATGTCAAGAGAATATAGAACCTATGGATGTTGATGTGGGTACAAGTAACAGTTCTCGATATTTTTGTCCAGTGTGTAGAAACATCATAAAAGAAACAGGGTCTATTACATCCTATAGTGACAGAAGCATTGCTTGTGATGAATGCAATTTGTGGTTTCATTTTAAGTGTGTAAATGTAACACAAACAGTACTAAAACAGAAAGATAAGTGGTTTTGTTTGAAATGTTCAACATCCAAGTAAATTATGAGTATTTATTGACGGAGAAAAACTGTTTATTCATAGGGAGTGTTAAATATTATTTCATTGTTAGTTAGTTTGTTTGCTGTTTAATTCATTAATAAATGTTACTGTGAATTGAAAAAATGTTTTACTTGTTCTTGTAGGTGCTATACATAAAAGAAAATTTTGGAATAATTTATTTGTATTTAGGCAAGGGAGGATACAAGTTGCAAATGCCAGCAACAGTTTTAATTATATCATGTAAATGCTGAAATAAAGTAGCAGGGACTTCATGCTTCAGAATTCTGAAATACTTCATTCTGCGAATGGCTTGCTCAACATATATACACCTGTTTGCTATTTGCTTTGTTTGCTGTACTTCGTCAGCTGATTTGGCAAGCTCCTCTACGTCCTGGTGGAACCATCAAATTGGCATGAAGAAGGGTAACCTCTTCTTTGATTTGGAATCCTCTGTCAGCCATGATGACATCATAGGGTTCAATCAAACTGTAGAAACCAGATCTATTTGTGATGTATTTATCGCTGGTTCTACCTCCCCAGCAGTCTGATATAAAATTAATCATCCCGGATGGGTTGATGCTAATCAGAAACTTAGCAGTATGATGGTGTTTATAATCTGACCACGTTTTTGTCTGCACCTCTAGATTTTGCGGTTTCTCTAAAAATACCTCAGTACAGTCAATGATATGGCGCACAGATGAATATTTTTTGCTTCTGAAGGATGGTGGTAGATTTTCACGCACTACTTCTTTGGATGGATTGAACACCAAGGTTCCAAGAAATTTGGATAGAATCTTGATCCATGTGGTGAAGATTTTTGAGATATGTGGAGCACTGATATTGAATCTTGTAGCTAAGTCTTCATTCAAAAGACCTAATCTTAATTTCATAAGAGTCAATGCCATCTCCTCTTTTAATGACAGAAATCTTCGTGGCCCTGACTTCTTTAAAACCTTGTGTTTAAGGGTGTGGAACACATGCTTAGGACCTCTCCAGTACTTGGTTTTCTTTATCTTTGGCTCAATAACCTTGTAGATGGTGTGAAAAGCACTTAACGAAGGCAAACCAGTATGGAATCTTACAGATTTGTTACTTTTTAAGACTGTGTCTGTAATGGAAAGTGGTTTTTGCTTTAGCTTCTTTTGCTTTATTAACTCAATTTGGAGTTCATTGATTTTTGATTTGAGTGCTGAAATCTCTTTTGATTTTTCAATACATTTGATACAAGGATTTGCATAGTCATGATCAAGTTTGCACACAGAAACAGGGTCATCTTGGCTTTCAGATATTTTCCTTTTTTTGGGTGTTTCTTTATTTAATTCTCTTTTAGTTGGAGGTAAGCGACCCTTGGAGACAATAGATGACATATGCCCCAGATTTATGGTGGGATAAGGATGAAGCAGTGAGGGTGCACCATCAACAAAATGCTTAGAACAAACTCGCGAATTGTCATTTGGTGACCAGATGTTAATCTTCCCATCTGTTGAGGTCCTGTTTATGTTCTTTCTCCATACAGACCGTGCATGGGGATCGCGAATTTCAGTTGGAAAGGGAAATAACTGAAAGGGTGGTGTGCATATGCACCTTGATGTGCCAAAATTGCAAGAGTGCATTTCGCAAAACTGTTCTCGCCATTTTTTCAAATGATATCCACTGCTGTTGCAGTCTTTGACACAACAAACTCTCTGGGTCATAATGTTTAAAAACAAACCAAAAATAATTGGAACTCCTAAACTGAAAATTAGAAACTCAACAAAATTTTGCAACATACCCATCACCAAATGCTGAAATTTAAAACAAAATCATAAAGATTTTTCAATATTTTTTGACAATGAAAATTTTAAAGTATGTAATTAACATCTTCACTGGAAGTTAGGGGAGAACAGTCCAAGAGCACTCTGCATTGTATATTTGTTTAAACAAGGTATCTTAAATTTGAATCAAATTATCTTCTGTAATCATTCTTTCTTAAGACTTACTATTCAAATTTAATACTTATAGCAATCACTTATAATTACATGATTAAGACAACATCTCTTTTTGTGTTTGTTTGGATTTTGTGTGTGTGTGTGTGTGTCTGTGTTTTTTTTTTTTTTTTGTTATACTCTGCTTGAAAAGCAGGAGGGTATATAGTAATTGGTATATCCGTCTGTACATCCACCTGTTACACTTTGGGGTACCCATCTCTTATCCGCATCATACCACTGAATGAAATTTGATGAGACTTTCACAGAATCTTTATTACATATTGCCATTGTAACCTCCTATTTTACTTTTTGATCTGACACATTAGTTTGGGTTTCCCACAGCAAACATGGACACTACCATTATATTCTTATGGGAGGCGGGGGTATCATTTAGTGAGCTCATTGCTCACAGTACCTCTAGTTTGTTTTTGTTGTTGTTTTTTTTTTTTTTTTGACACATAAATTTTATCTTAGATATACATCTACATGTACAATATTATGTATAATACTAAATGAGGAACTGCAGGCAGTTGGGATTGTTGTCCATAACTGCATACAGTGTTCTACCTATGAGATGTATGTCTCTTGGTTTAAATAAAATCTTATATCTACTGTAGTATAGATCATTAGATCTAAAATACTGCAATTATATATATGACATATCCGTTGAAAAAACAAAACAAAACATTTTTGTAGGATGAAACAAAGTGATATCAATAATTAAGGCTATGATTAAAAATATTATCCTGTATGAAACGGTATTCATTGATTTTAAATACTAGTTTATAAGGTCTCTCGTCATGAGTGTTTACATAGGGAGAAACGCTATGCGACTACATTAATGTCCGATTCGCACGAATTTTGAATGAAAGTAATGGCAATTTATTGTTATTTAATAAATTCAGTAATAAAGAATTTTGATTTTCTTACGTGTATGGATCTTTGCTACAGAATAAAAACAATAAACGTCAGATTGAATGACCCTCTGGACTGATGTATTACATGTAGCCATTTTGTTTCTACTGACGCGATGGCATGTTTACGCCGATTGACCTTTGACCTAAAATGGCGACGGTAATGTGAAAGTCGACTATTAAAAGTTTGTGACTGCGTCACTGTCAGCAAAGTCAACGTAGTCCAACAGGTGCACGCGCTACTTGACGCTGGACTTGTAGTGTTGTGGTTTTTATATCAGAATATTTAATCATAAACTTTCAAATCTTGAACATTAATTTTATAGCATATTAATGTAAGTTGACATAACCTCATTCATATTTAAACTAATTTCATAGCTTAATTAGAACATCAGTAGAAAACATTATACCCTATGGTAAAGTCCGGTATTAATTTTTTTTCCCAACTTGAATTTTTATTTGGAATTGTGTAATATCAAACCATGGAGAAGAAAGAAGGTGTCATCCTACATCATTTATCATCTAAATGGAATGTATTCAATGTATACTTGTATCATGTACCACTGTACCACTGTACTTGTACCATGTACCACTTATTCAGAGGGGGTTGTGTCAAAAATATACATGAAATTTAATAAATCATTTTTTTTTGTGTAGCTGTAGGCCCCAATCTTGTTAAAATTAGATGTTAGATCCGCTCGCATACTCGCTACACTAACATCTAACAACATCCCATTGAGGGTCACATACATGCCAACTTTTGAAAATTTTCTTGGGGGAGATTGCGCGTAACGACATTTTTAAAAGTTCCTAATTCGCGGCGTTTTGTCGTGAAATAACTTTTTGTAGGTTGTTTTTTTTTTCTAAATTATCAATCTACTACCTTAATTATATTATATATATTATTACTACTTCAAAAAGTGTTTTCTTCTCTATCAACTTAAAGAAAAGCACAAATACAATATCATTTAAAATTTTTAAGAGACAATTTTATTCAAAATTATTTAATATGTTAATATTAAGATAAATATACCCCCTGTCTTAAAGAATGTGATACACAAAGTTAACATATTATTACATAAATAAGGATGTTAAACTTTACAAATAAGCTGAACTGTTCATTGTCTGTTGGTAAATTACAAAGTTTATAAGGCTATTGTTATACAAAATATTGTTAAATTATTTTTTTTCTTAATCAGAGGGAATATTAAGTCATTTTAAATTTTCAATCAAAGTCTGCAAAAAGTATGGTCTTTTCCTTTCTTTTTTATTTTGATCACTCTGGGCAGTCCTAATGGTTTTACTCACAGGTACTTGGGTCGTGGTTTATAAATATTTATAATGTACCTCATTGATATGTAAAAAAAGTAAAGGTATGCAGGCTCCGTAATGGCGTCTGCTCAACTCGCTTGTTTACATGGTCTGTTTTCTTTAAAAAACGCTGCACCTACCGATATTTCTGCAACGGACGCCTCAGACCATTGATTACTAATTGTAAATATCCTCACATCTTGCAAATAATTCCTAAAAGGTGATTTTTAAACAATTTTTCAAAATTTTCGTTAACGTGCCCGGAACTAAGTGCAAATACTAAAACCCGAATCAAAATGAAGAATTCCGGCCATTAAGACACTCCAAAATTCTAGAGGCATCCCGAGAAATTTAAATATAACTTGAAATTTCCATAACTATTTATAATTTTCTCGGAATGCCTCTAGAATTTTGGAGTGTCTTAATGGCCGGAATTCTTCATTTTGATTCGGGTTTTAGTATTTGCACTTAGTTCCGGGCACGTTAACGAAAATTTTGAAAAATTGTTTAAAAATCACCTTTTAGGAATTATTTGCAAGATGTGAGGATATTTACAATTAGTAATCAATGGTCTGAGGCGTCCGTTGCAGAAATATCGGTAGGTGCAGCGTTTTTTAAAGAAAACAGACCATGTAAACAAGCGAGTTGAGCAGACGCCATTACGGAGCCTGCATACCTTTACTTTTTTTACATATCAATAAGGTACATTATAAATATTTATAAACCACGACCCAAGTACCTGTGGTTTTACTTGCAGGCACATTTTTTCCATGTTGGATTTTGGCAGTGTCTTTTCCATGACTAGATTACAATTTAATGAGGAATGCAATATTCCAAAACTTGAACACCTTTTATAAATGGTTTATACGTATATTGTCGAAGTTTGCTGTAAAGTGTGAACTCTCACAAGTTTGTCAGTTTGTATCCAGTGTCGTGTGTATTTCTAAAATTTCCACATCTGGCATAATTGTCTTGGGTAAAATACACTGTTAATGAGGTTCAGGAGCAATAAAAACCTCTGTAATGACTGGTAGCACAGTTGACACCTTGTTAATTACCTGTTATTAGCGGCAATAAACAGATATCCTACCGATAAACATTGAAACAGCCATGTTTTCTGCACACGGAAATACTGTATTATTCAAAGCGAATCGGTAAAAATTCCGGATTTTCGAAATATCGGTAGAAATGGGAGAAAAAAAATTAATCGGTAGACAAGCGGTAGACAGGGTTAAAAATCGGTAGACTCCCGAAAAAATCGGGAAAGTTGGCATGTATGGGGTCACGTCAGAGGTCAAATTCTATCAACCAATCAAATTGTCGCTGGCAAAATCATTGGATATTTGTTGACGTAATCGAAGTGAATAAGTCTAGAGTTGTTCCGCATTTGACCTCTGAAGTGACCCTCTATGGGATGTTGTTAGATGTTAGTTTAGCGAGTATGCGAGCGGATCTAACATCTAATTTTAATTAGATTGCTGTAGGCCCCTACCCTGAACCGAAACTATAGTACCCCCACCCCCACCCTTCTTTTCAAAATTCTTGGATCCGCCACTGTAAACATCACAGTAATCAGCCTGAAAGCATTTAAGAAATGAATGTAATTTTTGGAAGATTCATGAGGTTATGATGTACGACGGTTCAAGCTGGCATATTTCATGAAGTGCGATATATATAGTATATGTTTTTCTAATTAAAATAAACCCATTCAGGACAAATAGCACAGTCAGTGGAATCTCTCTATAGGAGACATTGATTTAAATCCTGGTCTGGTCTGTAATATTTTTCTTTCCTTTTACCTTGCACCAATCCAGCACTCGCCCCATGATCAGAGACTTGTGACTAGGCCCTGCAAACGAGAATCAAACCCAGACCTCCCGATCACAAAACGAACACTCGATCTACCACTAGGGTACTGTGACCAGTACTAATCTGACATGTTTAATGTTTTACAGACCACTAGGGTACTGTGACCGGTACTAATTTGACATGTTTAATGTTTTACAGAAGGAGACTGGTTCCAGGGATGTTACTTGGGGTTACCTGGTGTCGAGTGGACTCGAGAAGAAGCTCGAGATAATGAGTCTATCTCAAACCTCTCCCAGTGCCCCAGCCTCAGGGTGGTGGAGTGTGCTCGAAGATGTCTGCAGCAAAGGTCAGTTTGACATCTTTCTATAAATGTAGTGTAATAGGAAAGGAGAAATGCACGAAGAAAACACATGGATGGACTGGGAATAAAACCCGGGACCCCTGCATTACTAGCGAGGTGCTCTAACCACTGAGCTATCCAGGCCGATATCCACAGTCTGTAAAGCCTAAACTTCTACAGTAGAAAGCAGAAAAATTCACTTTTATAAGACACCCTCTTCTGGAACAACCCTGGGTTGAAATCGCAACCTAAATGATCTGTACTAATATTTATAATGTAAGAGATGGTCAGATAAGTTCGATCACAGTTGGGCAGAATGCTTAGTCGGTAGAGCACCTGACTGGAAATTCAGGGGACCCAGGGTTCAAATCCCATTCTGGTGCGCTGCATCTTTCTCCTCTCCCTTTACATTATAGATTATTTAAGAAAATTATAAGAATGTATTAAACTTTTACGTATTTGTTTGTACTCACAATGGGACATGAAGTAATTCCATTAGTCATATATATGAACCTTGAGCTTGAAAGGAGATATTGATGTTGGAGTTACCTCTCTTTGGTTGGAACAAGTTCAGAATAATACCAGGATGTAAATCATAACAGCCTGAATTATAACTATAACAGTCTGAATGGCAGCTTGCAGAGGATATTCTTCCTCTTCAGTGTTTGTTTAGATTTATTTATTTTATTTAACAGACACCTTAACCCTAATAATAGATATAATTTAAGGTTCATCTCTCTGTTTGTGGGGAAAATGTCAGCCAGACTGGGACTCCAGCCCAGGACCCCTCACTAACTTTGCAGCCGCTCTCGAACTACTGGGTTTCTGGGCCCACATACCTCGTCCCCATTACACTCCCCCCTCCCCCCATCCCCCTCTCCTTTTATTGAGGTTTTTCCATCCCGTGGGTTTTATATTTTGTGCCTAACGCTTTTGGCAAGAGTGATGATTTTTCTCAATACGAGTGGAAATTTCCTCAAATGAATTTTAAGCAAATAAATATATCAAATGATGTTTTTAAAATTATGATTTTCCAATAGAATATCTGACAGGAAATACCGGGTCCATTTACTGGTAAATGAAACCAGAATTCAACAACAAGCTAGAGGTACTGTGAGCGATGTGCTCAATAAATGATACCCCCAGCCTCCCATATGGTTATAACTGCAGGTGAAAAAGTCCATGTTTTCCTGTGGCTGGGAAACCCAAAATATGTGTCTGATCAAATAGTAAAATAGGAGGTGCACAATGGCAATATGTAATAAAGATTCTGTGAAAGTTCAAAGTTTCATCAAATTTCATTCAGTGGTATGAGAGGAGTTGCGGATAAGAGATGGGTACCCCCCCTTACAGAAAAAACTAATAGAAACTTATAAGTGTTTTATAATCCACTTATAAGCAACTTATAAGGCACTTATAAATTTTGAAATTTACTTATAAGTGTACTATAGGGGAGGAACAGCGAAAGTCGGACAGTTTTTCGGACCTTCTCGTATGCACCTTCGGTACACGCTCCAAGCTCGTAACACATAACCGGAAAGTTTTACGTCACATAAAATGATGTTTTTACCTTCTTTCTATTCTTAATTTTCATTGGTTAAAAGAATTGTATTGCTTTAAATCAAAACCAAACACGGAAAGGCCGAGGCTGATAAAGTCGGACAGCGACAGTGAAAGTCGGACATGTAGAATTTAAAGTCGGACACACACTGGTTTCGGCATTTAAAGTCCAATTTACTTCTTTTTTTAGGTGTTGATTGTAGTAGAGCATGCACAAAGTATCAAGGGGTGGGGTGGGGGGCTGACACCACAACCCCCCCCCCCCCCCAAACATTTACTTTTAATTACACAATTGAAAATTCAAGTTCATTGAAAGGCTGTTTTTCTTACCTCTACCTTTATGTTACCGTCAAATCAGGGTAATCTGGTAATGCGTGAATAAAATTCGGTTTTAAAAGATGTAATCAAATGGGACGTACGTACCTCCCATCAACCTCTGAAATAGAATTTTCTTTGAGTTTGGACAATTACCCACTCTTTCTATCTTGTCGTTTTTTTTCTTCACTCAGGTAAGTTGATTTTTGTATTAAATTTTTTAGCCCCTTCCCAGCTTACAAAAATGATACCTAGTGCCCGGGAAAAAATTTGTGAACATTTAAAGTTAATTTTACGTAATATACTTAGTATAAGGCCGGAATTAAAAATATCTTTGTTTCCCCTAACCCGCCCCTAAATTCTCAAGTTGGATCGGTAGGTAGGTAAACAATTTTATTTTCTGACAGCAGCTTTGAAAATACATTGTAAAATTTAATTGAAATTACCTTTATAAATAAGAAAAGTACAAAAGAAAGCGAATTGTGAACAAAAAACTAAGTATCGTACGTTTAAAAGCAAAATTCATAATTAATTAATTCACAACTGTTGAACTTGTGAAATATCTCACGCCATTACACTTATATACAGTAAATTGAATAAAATAGACAAGATTCTCAAATACGCAAAGACTAGACATACGAGTATATTTTTTCAAACCTTTCATCAGCCTTCAGAGCTTATAGACGATCAATGTACTTTTTGAGGGTCATGAGATTTGCAGTGGTTCTGAAGCATTTTGCTTTGGAGTTAAGAAGTAAGTGGCTAATTTTAAATCGCAGGTTCAAATCCCAATAAGTACCGCTGAAAACGGTCCTTCAAAGGGGACCATGAAAACTTATGTCCAGTGTCGCAGAAGATGCTGGCTCAAAAAAGATCCCTCACTGCTAAATAGCAAAAAAGTGCTGAGTACGTCTAAATTTGGAGCAATGGGAAATGTCATCCAAACAAATCTCGAACGGATTAAAAGCAAAGAATCAACCCATCCCCAAGGGCCTAATTAAAGAAAAATACATTGAACGTCTCAGGAAGCTGAATCATGATTTCAAAACTATTTGGAAATAGTATGTTAACAATATTTAATTGAACCAAACCGAATCTACAAATGATAAAAATGCTATATACAATGTCATAGTCACGAAGTTTAACCACTAAATTAAGGCAGGAAGAAACGTAAAGAAAGGACATCTGAATTATATTAATCAGGATAAATTTGCAGACATATTTACAACAACTCCTATGGTTCCTTAATGACATATAGTAAACATAGGAACATAGAAGAACTGGTTATTAGATCAAAACTCAAATTAAATTAAATGCAGTGAAATTGAATGATGTGTTCACTAGGTGGGCCCCTCATCTACTCATGAGGCGGGCCTTACCATGTATTACGTACCTTAAATTCAAAGACAGGTTTGTTTGTTTGTTGTTTAACGTCCCTTTCCAAAATTTATTCACTCACATGGAGACGCCAAGACACCTCCGAAACACTCTTTATTAGTCATGGTAATTTTATTACCGAATTGTTTCAAGAGTGAAGAATTCCAATTCCAATTCCTGCTAAAAGCATAAGATTGAGACTCGCCCTTGTTTTAACAAAAGCTAATGCCCTGTTTTTATATCTGGACGTCATTTTGTTTCCAACAAATGCTTGAAAATCACAGTAGAACAATGTCGGCCGTTCTGATAAAAACTGATTTTGATGAAATTGTATTTTATAAAACTTGGTTAACAATAAAAAAAAATTATTGAATCATCTTATTTAAAAAATCTTTTCAGTCGGTGCGATTTAGTTGAGTCGGTCGCGTTAGGGGAAACAAAAGTATTTT